ATTAAAACATATTTTTAACATCAAATTCAAGGTTTATGATTCTTGGTTCTTCAAACATGTCAAACACAAAACTCAACCAAATGACCATTTATGAACGTAAAAACAACCTATATGAACATTCTAATCTTTAGATATATCTACGGGCTTACCTTGAAGCGTAGGGGAGGTTTTGAAGATTTTCCGGCGAACCTTCCGGCGACTCTATCTCACTGCTCCGGCGACCTCACACAAAGATGACAGCACCACTGCACTCTACTCTCAGCAAGGAACAATATAGGAGGAAGAATGAATGTTTTTGGTGAAGAATTGAGGGAGTTGAGTTGTGCTTAAATAGGCCAGTGGAGAAGAAGAAGACATAGGTTTGTAGCTTCCGTGATTGAGCGACGATTTGGAATCGGCGTAATTGAACAGGGCGCCGTTTGGTGTGTAGTCCCTGATTGGGACTAATTTTGGTCCCAGTTGGGGTGCACTTTTTGTTCCAACTTTCTCCAAATTGAAATCCGATTGAACCGTTGGGATCAGACAGTCAAACTCTACATAATGATATGATTTTCATTATTTATTGACAAACTTTAGAATTTACTTATTTTTGGGTCTTTCTCAGTAATTAATTAATTATAAATTAATTAACTCTTATAGGCCTATTTTTGGGGCGTTACAGTTCATCTCCTCCCTATGTTCACCACTCTCTCCCTGATGAGTATTCCAAGAAAATCTTTTTTTTTGTTGATGATGCAGATAAGACTGGACTACCCGGGGGAGTTTGTCACTTCGGTGCGCGGGCTTTACTGCGATACGAATTGGTATACAGGCAACGCCGTGTCTTCCATCACAATTGAGACGAACAAGGCGACGTACGGTCCCTTTGGGAAACCCAAAAAGGATGTTGTTTTGAATCAATATGAGGAAAAAAATGACTATATATGTTACTTTGTTGATTTTATAAAATGGTTCATATTTTTACTTTTATGATAAATAAAGAGCGTATATTTGTGGTTTATTTTTCAATTTTGTTCTTAATGTAATGAGTTATAAAAGTAAGATTGATGAACAGATTATTAGTGAAAAAGTATGAGAATATTTTATCAAATAAATATTGAAAACACTCAAATAGAAAGACAAAAATTATAGAAATATCAAAATGATAAGAGAGACGGCTATTTTGAGATGAATGAAGTATAAATATCACAACAATAAGTGATTACAAGAACACACAAGAAAGGAATTGAATACCAAGTAATCAAAATGTACATCACTCTAAAAGGTAACTTATTTAAGCATTTATATGTGAAACATAATTAGCTAGTATAGTTTTTTTGACGTCTATATATATATATATATATATATATATATATATATCTTCATGATTGATTATTGTGCTTAGATTCTCACTAATTGATTGTCATAGATTATATATTTAAAAGCAAGAAAATTTTATTTTATCAAAGAATCAATACAAACATATAAAGAAACAAAAATTATTGGGTGAAGATTAGATGTAACCATTAAGATCTAATCAACGGCTTTGATTAAAGAATATATAAATAGAAGCACTAAAGATATCGAAGTCGGGGATGTAGCTCAGATGGTAGAGCGCTCGCTTAGCATGCGAGAGGTACGGGGATCGATACCCCGCATCTCCATTTTCTTTCTTTCTGCTTTTTTTTTCCTCCCCTTCTTTTGGAACTCCCGACAAGACTCTGTCAATGCCACAATGTCTCCCTCGAAATGATAAAATTCTCGCGCCGCACTGCAGCTTCAATCATTGTAGGAGAAATTATTGGTCTGTTTTTTCTCCTTTTTTTTAATCATTTGAATTCTTAAATTCACAGGCAGAAGAGGAAATCCAGAAATTGAAGAATAATGGGGAAGACGACGAGGAAACTGGAAGTGAGTTCGCCGGTTCCGGCGGATATAGACATCGCCAACTCAGTGGAGCCTCTTCACATCTCCGATATTGCCCAGGACCTCAATCTCGGCCCCAAACACTACGATCTCTATGGCAAATATAAAGCCAAGGTGTGAATCTCTTGTCCCTCTGGATCTTATTTTTTAATTCTATTGATTTGATCTGATCTGATTTGATTTAGGGATCGCTGGATTGGGTTGTTCTTTGATTTAGGGTTCATTTCGAAATACGGAGTATAATTTTAGAATATTATGAGTTTTTGTTATAAAGTTTCATAAATGTTAAAGGCTGTATTGCTCAAATGGTTGGCTTTTTTTGGGGGATGGAGGGAGATTTTACCCTTTCCCTTTACATATTTGGCTCTTCTGAAGTATATGTATCTGAGACATGGTGTGGGAAGTTGTAGGTGCTTTTGTCTGTGCTTGATGCGATTGGAGGAGGTCAAGATGGGTATTATGTGGTGGTTGGAGGGATAACTCCAACCCCTCTTGGAGAGGGCAAGTCCACTACAACCGTTGGCCTTTGCCAGGCGTTGGGCGCTTATCTTGATAAAAAGGTAAGCCGTATGACCTTATCGTTGTCTTTCTTATAGTAAAAGATGACATACATGACATTGCTATATTGAAAAGGCCCTCCTTTAAATAGTGTTGATTGTTAGCTTTGAGTTGAATTTATATATATACATACATACACCAGAAACCAATTGAAGTCTATTCCATATCCTAGCAAAAAAAGGCAAAGAGGAACATTTGAAACTAGGAAAATGATAAGGAAATGAGAAAAAAGATACCAAGGAAAATGATTTTATAATGTCTGGTTTTACCTAGGAAAAAAAATATTTCTATTTAAAACATTTCAAAAAATTTATGTTTACCTAGTTTTATTTTTCTTCGTATCATCACCTTAACCCCCAACTAGTTGGTTGGTGGGGTTTAATTTAGAGTTCTAATTATTTGTATGAAATTTCTTAACAATATAAGTTCATGCCAAAAAGCATGGTGGCAATGCTTTATGCTGAATCACTTTTATTCTCTTCCGCATTTCCTCTCATTTTTCCTCCATTTTTTCTTGCCCTGGCATTTTCGGAGTTACAAATGGACCCTCATTGTGTAGGAGCTTCTGCACTTGTATACCTTTTCTGAATTTCAATTCGTGTGCTTGTTTCTTGTCAAGTTACGCCCTCACAAAGGCCTTTTTTTGTATCTCACCTTGGTGTGATATCAGGTCATAACATGCCTCCGCCAACCGTCCCAAGGACCAACCTTTGGAATCAAGGGTGGGGCTGCAGGTGGGGGCTACAGCCAAGTGATTCCAATGGATGAGTTTAACCTTCACTTAACAGGGGATATTCATGCAATAACTGCCTCAAACAACCTTTTAGCAGCAGCCATTGATACACGGATTTTCCATGAATCGTCCCAGTCCGACAGTGCACTTTTCAACAGATTATGCCCCTCGAATAAGGAGGGCAACCGAAGATTCAGTGATGTCATGCTTAGGCGTTTGAAGAAACTCGGCATTGAGAAGACAAACCCCGATGAGCTAACCTCAGAAGAAGTTACGAAGTTTGTTAGGTTAGACATCGATCCTTCATCCATAACATGGAAAAGAGTTATGGATGTGAATGACCGGTTCTTGAGGAAGATTACAATTGGTCAGGGCCCTGATGAGAAGGGTATGGTGAGAGAGACAGGGTTTGATATATCTGTTGCCAGTGAGATAATGGCGGTTTTAGCCCTAACGACGTCACTAGCTGATATGAGGGAAAGGCTGGGCAAAATGGTAATTGGGAACAGCAAGGCTGGTGATCCCATCACGGCGGATGATCTTGGCATAGGGGGCGCTTTGACTGTCCTGATGAAAGATGCCATAAACCCCACCCTGATGCAAACTCTGGAGGGCACCCCTGTCCTCGTCCATGCGGGCCCATTTGCAAACATCGCCCATGGGAATTCGTCCATAGTTGCGGACAAAATTGCGTTGAAACTCGTGGGACCTGGCGGTTTCGTGGTGACCGAGGCAGGATTCGGATCCGATATCGGGACGGAGAAGTTTATGAACATAAAGTGTAGGTATAGCGGATTGAAACCCCATTGTGCTATAGTTGTTGCAACGGTGAGGGCCCTCAAGATGCACGGGGGAGGCCCAGAAGTGGTGGCAGGAAAGGCTCTCGACCATGCTTATGTCAGCGAGAACATTGCACTTGTTGAAGCGGGGTGTGTAAATCTTGCCAAGCATATATCAAACACGAAAGCTTATGGTGTGAATGTTGTGGTGGCTGTGAATGCATTTTCTACAGATACTGAGGCAGAATTGAATGCTGTTAGGAAAGCATCAATGGCCGCTGGAGCTTTTGATGCTGTAATTTGTACTCATCATGCCCATGGCGGGAAAGGAGCGGTAAGTCATCTGAATTTTCATCCCATGAGTATTAGGCCATTTCCACCTTTGTCACCCGGCTTTTATTTTTTTCACTTTTGGTGTACGAATATTGATTCTCGATTGCAAATTTTGTCACCCTCCTAAAAGAAAAATTGAAATTTATAAAATGTTTCATGTTCCGTGTCCAACTACTACCTACAACCCCTTCATAATAGGGGTAAGGTAAACACCTTCTGCGGAACTTACTTTTTGTGGGATTTTACTGGGTTAGTTGTTGTTCTGTATTATGCTATTCACGAGAGCTCCACTAGGAGTATAATCATGATATGTAATTAATTTTTTTTCCAAGCTCTCGATTAATATTGCAAAGCATTATGTTTCAAAAGTTTCAGTTTTAAACCTTCATTTCACCTTCCAGGGAGAGTAATTCTTTTCCATTTTCACCTCGAGTGAATGAAAGTTGTGATACAAATGTGGAATAGTCGTGTCTTGTGAGTTGTGCCCAAATTTCAGAATGCTTCCTTGTGCTTTACAATACTCTGTTGACCAATATACCCTTTTTTGTGACACGTAGGTTGACCTTGGTGTTGCAGTTCAAAAGGCATGCGAAAGTGTTTCACAACCATTGAGATTCCTGTACCCGCTTGATATAGGCATCAAAGATAAAATTGAGGCAATAGCAAAGTCATATGGGGCCAGTGGTGTTGAGTACTCGGAACAGGTAATTACCAATTTTCCATTTCAATACTCATCCTAACTATTTGCTATGCCTGTGTTTTTTTGTTGACAAATTTACCATTTTAGTTGGCTCTTTGGTCCTTGTTATTATCATACTGCTATCTAATCAACACAAGTTTCCTTCATATTTTACTAGTTGACTCCACAAATTATTTTTAAAAAAATCTAATTTTTGTTTGATTTTACTCACAATATCATTAGATAGCCATTGATTCACTGCAATGTCAATTTTCAAGTTGTCAACCCAATGTTTTCATCTTCGTTATATTACTCAACCTGATGATAGATGTCAAAACAACCCACCAAGATCCCATAAAAAGTAGGGTCTGTGGAGGATACGCGCATATCTTACCTCTACTCGAAAGTAGAGACTATTTCCAAGATACCCCAGACTCACACAAAGTACCCACAGAACATGATATGGAGGACCAAAAAGTTTTTTTTTTTTTAAAAATAAAAAGTTGGAGCCAAAACTGGTTGATTCTAAAGAAAATTACGGAAATAGGGAGTTTTGTCTAATCACAATGTAATTGGCTCCGATGTACAAACTTTTGAGGTCCAACGTTTGGCTGCTATTGAAAGAAAAAAAAGGATTTTTCTAACTAAATGCATTTTGATTTTTATGGAAATCAGGCTGAAAAGCAGATAGAGGTGTATGGGAAGCAAGGGTTTTCCAGCCTGCCAATTTGCATGGCTAAGACCCAGTATTCGTTTTCTCACAACCCTAAACAAAAGGGAGCGCCGAGTGGGTTTGTCCTTCCCATTAGAGACGTAAGGGCAAGCATTGGGGCAGGGTTCATCTATCCTTTGGTTGGAACAATGAGCACCATGCCTGGACTCCCTACAAGGCCTTGCTTCTACGAAATCGATCTTGACACTTCCACTGGAAGAGTTATTGGTCTTTCTTGATTTGATTTTTTTCAAGGAACATTTAGGGCTCGTTTGGCTGAAATGGCCGAACTAGATGATTTTCTTGAAAAGAAAAGCGTTTAATGACATCTATTTCAGCTGCAGAAGTTGGTCGAAAGATACAAATGGAGCCTTGATATTGTTACCGCATTGAAATTTTACACGTTTCTCTGGAATTATACCGTTTTGTGTTAGGATAAATTGGCAAGTCTCCAAATCTTCAAATGTTGTTTGATTGTAGGCAATATAGAAGTTTCTTCTTTTATTTTTCCTCTTACAACGGAAAGGATGTAAACACATTATGCAACTCATCATTTCATCACTATGCATTTCTCTTTTATGATAATAAAACTAAATGTGTTTCTTGTGCTTGTGCTCTTACCATGCTACTATTGTGTTTCTTCTATTTATGTATAAATCATCTGCCATTGTCATTTGTGAAGACATCTGTAATAGATTCCTAACATTTTTGTTGTCATTGTTATTGTTCTTCCAAGTAAGTTTATATAATCTTGCGCCCAAGTTGAACGATTTCACCTTTGGAACAAGAGTTTATATAATCCTGTTAATGGGTCAAGGTGGTACCTTGTTGGCACCCATTATTTATTTCGCAAATGGTTGATTTAATTTTGTTTACCCGACTTGGACTTGGACCCATTTTAAAAATATTAAAATGAGTTTTATATTGGAACACTTTATTCTCTGAATAGACTTGTATCAATATAAATAAATATTGATTTTAAATTTTACAATAAGATTATGAAAATAAATAATAAATTTATACTTCAAAGTATTCAATATGAAAGTTGAGGTTTATAATCATATTAAGGAAAATTATATCCAATAAGTGGTCTCTCAAAAACAATTCTAACTCTTCAATGTTAAGTGAAATAGTTTCAACTTTTAAAGTTGTGTGTTTTGGATCTTTGTTACCATCTTGACAGAAAAAGTTGACGAAATGAAGAGCTGGAAAAATCTTTTGTTTTGTTTTTTGCCTTAAATAATTAACGAAATTGGACACAAATAATCTCACAGATTAAATTATCACATTTAACATCTTTTTTTTAATTTTTTTCTCAACCCTTCGCAATTGAAATAAAGATTTAACTTTTTTATTAATGCAAACAAATTTGTTTCCAAATGATGATAAATTTAAAAAAATTAAAATGAATGCAACTAAAATTTTAGTGAGATTATTTTTGACAAACCACATTGAAACAAATTTCTTTCATATTTAAACACTCAAACTCTGTAACTTAATATGCAAATTAATATTTGGACATTTGATTAGAATAATATATTTAATCATAACAAAATAAATATTTCAATTTTTAAAACCAAAACATTAAAATGAATGCATAAAACCTTTGATAACATAAAAGGTATGAATGTTATGTTAGGTATAAATCTCAGCCGTCTAATTTAAAATTGAAATATAAACCGACGAGTGCCCAAAGAAGTCTAAATACACAATTACCGAAATGATAGACTTGATATATCTAAAGTATGGATCAAGATCTTTATATTTCATCTATACTAAAAAAAAGAATGCAACGGTTATTATTTCAGTCTTTCATTAATTTTTATCTGTTTCTTTCACTCATTTTGGTTGGTTATTTGATAAAATAAAATATTCATGTTGTATCTAATTTCATAGAACTTTTAATATACTTTTGAATGATGTAATTTTTTACTTTTTATTTTTATACCACTTGTAAATAAAATAATTTTTAAAAAAAATGATATTTTACACATTTTTCAAAATATTTTAAACAATTTGGGAGAGAAGAAGTATTTTTTTATGCTATATGAGAATGTGTTGAAACCACCCCTTCCAAAGACCAAAGCAATGCTTGAGTCACAATAAAATATTTCAAAAATCACATACATCTCATTTTTAAATTTATACTCCGACGGAGTATCTTTTAGTTATTTGTGGTTTTTCTACTTTTATTGGAATTCTCAAAAGAAATTGAAAATTTCTTGAATTTTGTGACATTTTCTAAATATCAATTTTAGCGTTTGTGATTTTTTTGAATTTTTTATTGGTGAGTTAAGCATTTCGAGTTCATACTACTCTGTCTTGTATACGGAAATATTTGTCTATTTCTAATTTTTTTTAATTAAAACTGACAAATATTGACCAAAAATTACATAAAGCGATATTAGATATTGAAATAAAAATTACTCCCTCCGTCCGGATTTTAAGTTTTCACTCTACGTTTTTCTCCGTCCGGAAATAAAGTTCCCATTATACGTTTTCTAACCCACTTTTCCTAAACTACCCCTCTCATTAATTCACCCTTCTCGCCCAATCCTCCTACCCGCATTCATTATACCCTCCTGTCCTTCTTTTCGCACCTCTTCTCCTTCCTAGATCCAATCCGCCCAATTATTTCTCCCTCTTCTCCTAGAACCCTAGATCTCATCCCACATCTAATGGATTCGCATGACTATTTCTTGGATCCTATCATTCCGGAGACGGAATTTCAAGATTGTTGGGGTGAGGTTGAAGATTTAATCTCTGATGACAGCGAGGTGGAGGAGGTTATTGTAATCCATAGCGGTGACGAGGTCATCGTCATCGATAGTGAAGATGATGGTGCCGATCCTGCCCCGATCAGAGAAATGCAGTGTTTTATCAACATTCAATCTCAAGAAGATTGTATTTTTGTTGATGGGAGGCAGGAGGGTGACGAGATGGAGGAGTTTGAGAGAGCTGGGTTTGATTCTTCTCAACCCATGTACTCACGCATGCACCTCCACATTGATATGCTAAACATCTTACTTCCAAGTCCAGACTTTTGGGCTTCAAAGTACAAGTAGGGAAGTTCGTTTAACCTTCCTATACTTCAATTATTTCTACATTACTGGAATAATTATAGATTATGTGAGTTTGGATGGTTCAATTACTGTCCCTGCTCTTCCCTTGTTTTGGAAACAGTAATAGGACTCCATATTGTTCATTTCTTTATTCTACATGTGGCTTTCCATTAAAAGGGTCCTTAATTAACACTATGTTATCTGTTCTTCTCATGTTTGCAAGACTGTTTGTGATCACTTTGTGTGATGAATGTCTGAGAACAATATGCCTACTGTGATGAGAATGTATCCATTTAAGGATGTCTCTAAGTAGTGAGGGTTTTACACCTTCTATGTGGTCTTACTCTGCCTCTAGCAGAGTCCTATCCATCGCTGTCCTTTTCCTGCCCTTTTTTCCTACCAATCGACTCCTCACATCGATGGCAACCCCCTGCTCTATTTGTTTCTTTGCAATTGCCCATATCTTGCTCACTGTTTTTCTAGATACATTAAACTGTGCAACAAGTTTGTTGATATGCCCATACTGAGTTGAGTATGAACCATTAGGATTTTGCTTTGAATGAGCTAGTAATGTGTCACTGATTACGTGCCTCGTTGTGTTCTCCAACTTCTTCGTATTTATGTGAGGGTATTCCCCATCCATATGTGTTTGCAGGCCTCCAAGAAGTGCAGTTTCCAGCAAAACAGAAGAAAATGAAGAGCACAGATGCAAGGACAGCAACCCGAAGAAAATGAAGAGCATCCCGAAGAAACGTGCAAGGACCGCAGCTTGGAGAAACGTGCAAGGACAACAGCCCGAAGAGAGTTCAAGGACCGCAGCCCGGAGAAACGTGCAAGGATAGCACCCCGAAGAAAATGAAGAGCAGCCCGAAGAGAGTTCAAGGATTGCAGCCCGAAGAAACGTGCACGAATAGCAGCTCGAAGAAAGTGAAGATCAGCCCGATGAGAGTTCAAGAACAGCACCCCGAAGAAATGTGCAAGGACAGTAGCCCGAAGGAAATGAAGCGCGGCCCGAAGAGAGTGCAAGGACAACACCCCGAAGAAAATGAAGAGCACATATTCAAGAAAAAAACATGCTAAATAAGGAAATGGGAGGGAGCTTTTATAGGATTGCAAGAGGAAAGGTTGTTTTAAAATTTTTGGGAATGTTTGGGCGGGTAGTTTTGTAAAAATAGGGGGGAATTGGAATGTATTTTGGATGATTTGGTAATGTAATGATGATATGATGTAATCAAAACCCATACTTGCCTATTTTGGAACCAGTAATAGTACTCCGTATTGTTCACTTCTTTATGTTGCATGTGGCTTTCTTTTTCTTCTTTTTTTAGTAAGGGCATTCTTGTCATTTTATAGTCTTAGTCAACTTCCACTAAAAATGAGCAAAAGTCAAAGTGAGAACTTAAAATCCGGACGAAGTGAGTATCTTACTTAATTATTTTATAAAAAAATTTCAAAATATGATTTTATATTTTTATGTAATTAATAAACCATATGCATTCTATCTGATTATAAATAAAAAATTTAAAATAATTAATAGAAAAAATAAAAAGTAGACAAATAGTAGGAAGAGATACGGAGTACGGAGTAATATATTTTATGCAGATGGCCAATTAGGATTATGAAAGAATATATGGAGTAATTGTTGAATTTTCCCTCCATCTCAAATCGTCTCGCCGACGGCACCGCCGCCGGTGACAATGGGGGGAATAAACAGCATGTCCCAAGCAATGCAACTCCATGCCAGATTAGTCAAGCTGGGCGAAGACGACGGCTCCTCCCATTCCCCTGATTTCAGCAACCTCTTCACTTTCACTGCTCTCTCAGCCGCCGGCGACTTGAACTACGCCGCCCGTATCTTCAGGACTATCCGCACCACCTCCAACTCCTACTACTGCAACACCATGATTCGGGCCTACGCCGATTCCCCCGACCCGACCCGCGCACTCACCCTCTTTCTCACCTCGTCCGCAGCCCGACCCGACCATTTCACCTACCCGTTTCTCCTCAAAGCTTGCTCCAAGACCCGTCATACCCGGTTCGGGAAGCAAGTCCACGGGTTGGCTTTGAAGTCCGGTTTATGGTCCAATGTGTACGTTAACAATGCTCTGATCCATTTTTACTCTGTCTCCGGCGAGCCATGCCGCGCCTTCAAGGTGTTCGACAAAATGCCTGAACGGGATGTGGTTTCCTGGACGTCCATTATTGATGGGTTTGTCGATAACGGTAGACCCTTGGAAGCCATCGCGTTGTTTACTCAGATGATGGGAAACAGATTCGACCCGAATGAAGCAACAGTCGTCTCTGTGCTCAGAGCCTGCGCTGATGCCGGAGCTTTGACCACCGGGCACAAGGTGCATTCTTTTGTGAAGAAAAACAGTTTCAGCTCTGAGGCCAATGTGATTACTGCTCTCATTGACATGTATGCAAAATGCGGGTACATAGATGGTGCATTGCGAGCTTTTTATGAAACCTTAGACAAAGATGTCCATATATGGACATCGATAATAGCCGCGCTAGCCAGCCATGGCCTATGCACGAAGGCCATTGAGTTCTTCGCAAACATGACGAAAACTGACATAAGAATCGATGAAAGAACAGTAACCGCGGTTCTATCTGCGTACAGAAATGCCGGTTTGGTTAGCGAAGGCTTTTTGTTTTTCACAAGTTTGGACAAAAAATATAAACTGAAACCAACAATCCAGCATTATGGATGCATTGTAGACATGCTCGTGCGTTCTGGGCTTCTAAATGATGCCGAGGAGATCATAAGAACAATGCCCATTGAGCCAGATGCTGTGATGTGGAGGACACTGATATGGGGATGTAAAATCCATGGAGATGAAGAGAGGAGTGAACGTATAGTTCAAGAACTTCTAAAAATGGAGATATCAGAAGCAGGAAGCTATGTTCTTCTTGGAAACGTCTACGCAGAAACAGGAAAATGGAAGGAGAAGGCAAAAACCAGAGAACTAATGGCCCAAAGAAAGCTAACCAAGCCACCTGCTTGGAGTAGGATTGAAATCGAAGGACAGGTTCATGAATTTACTGCAGGAGATTCCAGGCATGAAGAAGCGGAGACGATTTACAGAAAGTTGAATGAGATGGAGGAGAGATTGAGAAGGGAAGGGTATGAACCCAAAGTTTCAGAAGTCTTACTTGAAATTGATGACGGCGAGAAAGCTTCTCAGTTGCTCCATCACAGCGAAAAGCTTGCAGTTGCATTTGGGCTTGTGAAAGCAAGGAAAGGAAGTGTGATTAGGATTGTGAAGAATTTGAGGTCCTGTGATGACTGCCATTCTTTCTTGAAACTGGCCTCTAAGGTCTTCCAGAGGGACATTGTGGTAAGAGACAGAGTCCGTTTTCATCACTTTAAGGATGGAAAATGTTCTTGTGGTGATCGTTGGTGATGCACGCCATTGTTATGAGGTACATACTTTGATTGAATTAAGCACTTTCGGTAGCTAATGTGTTGTTTCAGGGGAAATGTTAATATCAGATAGACCTTGTAAAATCATGTACCCACAAACTATAACCAAAAAAGAGTTCAATTTGTTATATATATAAGTGAAATTTGCACTAAATAGGACTAAAACATAATGACTTTCTTAATGTAGGACTTAAACTTTTTTATTCCTTAAATAGGACTTAATAATGATCTCGTGGGAGGAATAATGTCCAGTAATGTTAGACATTTACTTGAATAATGACTACTTGTTATTGACCAAAAGTCCTACATTGGGAAATAAAAACATATGGTCCTATATTGGGAAAGTCGTTATGTTTTAGTCCTATTTAGTTAAATTTCTCTATATATATAATACATAGGTATATACTTTAATGTCCACAGAAAATGATTTCTGGCGTGAACAATAATGACTAGTTTTATTTTATTTTATTTTTCAAACTCTGAAACCAGCACCTGACACTAGTTTTGTTTTATTTTATTTTATTTTATTTTTCAAACTCTGAAACCAGCACCTGACAAAGATTTGATAATTCTTCAATATGAAAATGTCAAATAGAGGATAGAAGAGAGATACAAAAATTCATAAAAGCCCAAGAGCATTATTTAATTTTTAATATTAGCAGCCAACTCTCACTGTTTTGTGATTATATATTGAAATATAATAATGGGCATTAAGGCAACACAAAGGAAAAAGAACATTACACTCTTTCCCAGTGAAGCACATACAAAACAACCTTAAAACTTTAACTTCCACAAGGAACAACTGATTCATCAAAGCTTGTTCCTATACCAAAGCACACCCTTTCCTGCAGCGCCCTCGTCCTCCTCAACATACAAACACTCCTTGGCCTCCCTCCAAATCGCCTTGTAGAACGGGGTATCATCAAACCGGTAGTACTCCCCAAGAACCGGCTTGATTGCCTCGGTCGCCTCCATGGCATGGTAATGTGGCATGTGGGAGAAGAGGTGGTGTGCGACGTGAGTGTCGGTTATGTTATGGAAGACCTTGTTAAGCACCCCATAGTCTCGGTCCACGGTTGCCAACGCGCCCCTCAGCCAATCCCACTCAGACGAGTCGTAGTGCGGCAACGCCGGATGTGTGTGCTGCAAGTAAGTGATCAAGACAAGGAACACATTGACGACGAGCAAAGGCACCCCATAGTAGAAGACAACCCAACCTACCCCTTTGAGTAGGGCCAAGCGGTACAGAACGTATGACATGGCAATGATCCCCACATCCGATATGAATATTTGGAGCCTCTCACGGGCATTGAAGATCGGGCCATACGGGTCATAATGGCATGCAAACCGGTCGTAAGGCCTCCCCGAGACATTGAATGCCAAGTACAAAGGCCAACCCATGGAGAGAGTGACCATTAAGGTCAAAACCCTCCCTAGGGGGTTGTTCAAGTACTTATAGAACCTCGAGATTCTGGTCTTTGTCTTTGGGACGAAGACTTCATCTCGCTCCAGAGACCCCGTGTTGGAGTGGTGGCGGCGGTGGCTATACTTCCAAGAGAAGTATGGGACCAGAAGAGCAGAGTGGAGGACGAGACCCACAGTATCGTCCAACCACTGGTGATCACTAAAAGCATGGTGCCCGCATTCGTGGGCTAAAACCCAAACCCCCGTGCCAACGGAACCTTGGAGAATCCAATAAGCAGGCCACGCCAGGTAGCGGTAACGGTACGGTAGCAAATGCATATAAGTAGTGGCAATGTGGTAGAAGAGCGCGACCATGACCAAGTCAAAGAGGACATATGAGAACGACCGAATAACGGACCGCTTGAAGCAATGGGGAGGAATTGCATTCTTGATATCACTCAGGGAGAAGTTTGGCTTCGAACACGGGACTCTGTCAAGGGGATTCTTCTCAGACTCGGGTGAAGACGACAACGATCTTCCTCTTCCTCCTGCACCCATGGCTCCCTGTAAATGGGAAACAATAAACAAAATTACCACTTGATTTTACTATCCAAAGTAAATGTGGGAAAAAAAATGTACCTCAAGATGATGAAGAAGCTATAGGGGAAGAAGTTTAATCTGTTGGCTGAGAATTGGAGTTTTTGTCACTTGTGAGAATGATGAGCACAAAGATAGAAATACTAATATATATATAGTGGAGAGTTGAAGAAGATGAAGCATGCAACGCATAGATCTCATCAAAAAATCAAAAGATACACGAAAAGGTTTTTTTTTAATATACATATTTTACATGTGCATTGGACACTTCAAAAGTTTTTGACAATTTACCTGCACATTTTTTTTAGAAAAATAGATCACCATAGCCCATGGGTATTACTTCCTGGCTCTACTTTGATTATTTTGAGCTAAAGTAAAAAAGTTTTAATCATTAATTAATTACACTAAAATTGTACAAATTATAACATGAATTTATACTCTCTTTCATGAATTTATTGTCACAATCACTATTTTGGGCTCTCGGTATCTTATGTTTGTTTGCACAATTTTGTTGAGTATTTGATAAAATAAAATATTTGTGGCACATCTTGTTTTATACGGAGTAGTTTCTAAATATGTATTTTGTACTTTTTTTATTTCTATGCTAATTTGTAATTAAAATAATAAACAAATAGATTTTGCGCATTGTTCAAAATGAGACAAAAAATTGGGACAAAAGAAGTTATAATAAAATCATTTTTATATTAATATGCAATTCAATTGTTATTGCATGGGGAGTTAAAATACGTTCAATTTGATTTGAAAAATGAAAATATACTAAGCCCGATGTTGCACTTGAAACCAATTTTTTTTTGGGTCTTGGTAACTTGGTTGCGTACTCCCGTCGATCTAAACCCAAGTCTAGACAGTGCAACTGGACGTCACAGTAGTCTGTTCATAAAATGGATGGTTCCTACCTTTCTTAACTATCTCGGTAAACTCACCCACCCTGCCAAACCTAAACCCACCCCACTCCTCGTCACTTGAACCCTCAAAGTTTAGCCACTTGAAATTAAATTTTAAAACCAAAAAGTCAACTAAACATGGGGCCGGAGTGGGTGGTGTACCGGTGGGTTAGGAAGGTAAAAGCCATCAATTTCGCGAAAATAGCACCGTATGTGCCCCAAAATTTCAGTAGCACCACCCAAGTCGTTAACAACACTAATTAAGATTCTTGTCTTATGGCATCCCTAATGATAGTATGAACAAAGTTTGAAAGAAAGTCTGAAGACTCTTCTCCAGGCTTTACCATTAGGGCGGATAGAAAATGAGGAAAGTCTGAAACCGAGTCTTTAAATTCCCATACTCATCTCAAAACTCCCAACTTAGTTCATTCAATAAAATTCAGACACGTGTATTCAACAATAATTATTTTTTGAAAAAAAATAGTTACAATTATTTTGTAATAAAAAAATTAATGCTCCCCAAATGTAGAAAACATCGATCGTCAATTGTCTACTTATATACTCCCTCCGTCCCGAAATAGATTACAATATTCTCTCACATTTTTGTCTCAAAAAGGATTACAAAGTCAATAACTTTATAGTGATTTGACTCTTTTACTCTTCCCTTTTCTTTTCTGCCAGCCACTATTCACACTATTCATCCATGTGATAGGAAGGATATTTGGGGGATTTGGGGGGTAATTTGGGAAAAAAAATTTGATTTGACTCTTCTTTAATTTCAACAAAAAGAGAATATTGTAATCTAAAGTGGGACGGAGGGAGTATGTTGCTGAAATTTTGTCTACTTATATAATTTTATATTGTTATGCTTTTATTTTTTTGTAATTTTTATTTTATGCAATTTTATATTTTATTTTTCAAAGAAAGAAAACACATTTTTATGTAACTTTATACCGTGTTTTTTAATTTTTTTGGGAACAAAATACAGAATCTCCCGAAGGATAAAAAAGGATTCTTTTTCTTCATGTTGAACCTATCACTTTATATTTCAAATATGTTTACTTATGTATTCTTGAATTTTAATTTATTGTGTTTTTAATTTTATTTTATGCATTTATACTTTATGTGTGTTTACTTGAATGATTTTAATGAAATGTAGTAATTTTGTTTTGTGTGTTAATTTTATATAATTTTATCTATAATTTTATGTTGTTGACTTTCTCAATCGTGAATTATATTTATAAATAAATTTAATAGAAAAGATAATGTATAAAATAATTCAATACCCTATTAGATAACTACAACTAAAAAAAATGAGCCCGGTCCCATGGCCACTGGATTCCAGTGGCCACGGAAGCCACTGTCCCCTACGGATTTCAGTTCATAAAATTGAAGATTCACACCCTCTTAATTCCCGGTAAACCCCCCGCCAAGTCTCGACTCAAACTAATCACTCCATTTACGTAGGGGGTTTACCGGAGGTTAGGGAGTAGGAATCAAACGAAGTTCCGTAGAGGGGCAATGGCTTCCGTGGCCACTCGAATAAGTGGCCATGGAACCGGGCTAAAAAAAATAGAAATAAAAGTTAATACTGCCTATAACAAAAGATTGTGAAATACGTAGTACTTGATACAACAAGGTCTGAAAGAATTACCAGCTTAATAAAAATGGATTCCAAATCCATACTATGCTGAATTGCTTGCTGACCAGTGCCATTCTTGGAGAAGCTAACTCTTCCAAATGGCGGAATCTCATCTTCCTCAAATAGCCATTCTTGGAGCTGGCATCTTCGTCAAAACCCAATACATTCCCCGGTTAGCCGAGATTTCTCACCTTTTCGTCCTCAAAGCCATTTGGAGCCGCAGCGAGGTAATATGAATACCCACACCCCGATTCTTCTCGCACGATTTTAGGGTTTGGATGAAGATTGCGATGCCATGAAAGAGGTTCCTTGTGCAGGAGTCGGCCAGAAGTGCCGTCGAGCTAGCAACGAAGCATTTCCCTAGTGTGGAGTGTAAGTGGGGAGATGCTGGTCTTGATGAGATTATCGGTGATGCTTCCATCATCGGAGTTGCTGTGGTTCTTGCCGGACAGACGCAGGTTTCAACACCTAATTTCGTTTTAGGGTTCATGATTTTTGGATTATTGGTGAAATTATTCATCATTTCAACACCTAATTTTGTTTTACCATTGCTCCATATGTTCTTCTTGCTGAAGGTTAGTGTGATTATTTTAAATCGATATTCGTGTATAGATGGATAAACAAGATTTAACAACATAAACCTTGTCCGGCCACAACAGCTTGTGTTGCATATTGCTCTTTTATTGATTTCAACTAAATAATGGAGTAAATCGCGATGGCCTATTGAACTTCATCAACATGCTTCCCTTCCCCGCACAACCCTTCGTGACGTGTTTTGAGCCAAACAAAGACTTATGACTCAGAGACTAGTGGGATGTTGGGCCTAAAGCTTTGCAAAGCAATGACCATATGCAAATGTTCACATATTTCTTCAGCATTCTCCCCAAAATTGTTTTTTCTATAAAACATGATGGAACATTGAGGGAAATTCTTTCAGGTGGAGATGTCATTGAGACTTCTCAAAGGAGGAAAACATGTCCTACAAGGTATCCATGTTCAAATATGATAATGTGGCTTTTCTCTGTAGAAAATCTTAATAACTCATCGGATAATTTGCTTTTGAAGTTTATACACTCATAGTTTTGAAAGGCGAGTCCCTTTCTCGCCTAAGGCAACTCAGGCGTCCGGGCGACCTTTTACCGCCTGTAGATGTTCAGGCGAGGCGTTGTCTGCGTTTCTCGCCGCTCGTGTAAGTCGATTGCTTTTCTTGCCTTTTTGGCCTGAGTTGTTCGCCTTTCTCGCCTGAGTTGTTCGCCTTACTGGCCATGGGCCTTTTAAAAAATGAGCTGGCATTTTTTGTACATTTTTATATACGGAGTATTAAATACTCATTTTTTTGGGAAACATATGTAGTAACTACTCTAATTGTTTTGTTTAACATGTATGACTTGCTTGGGATTGACATTATTAATTGCACTATATATTTTGTGTATGTGTGTGTATGCCCCAAGTTCGCCTTTTGGCCGCCCGCCTCTCGCCTTGCCTTTCACCTTAAAAAAAGCCCTCTTGCCTGCCTCTGGCCTTTCACTTTTCAAAACTATGGATACACTGTAGCTCTATGTATAATCATGATCTCTGTGTGTGTGTGTGTGTGTGTGTATGTATATATATACATATATAATGCACACATCAATATACAAATATACATATTGACACACACAGATGCATACACACTCACATACATTCATCTGCCCTTATCTTTCAGATAACTAGGGCATGTATTATGGAATTTATTTATGTGTGTCCATCTTACCATATATAGTTCAAACTAATGGTTCATGTCTTCTCTTCTTTTGCATGGTTTGTGCTACTTGATGAAATTCTGATTACAAAGAGAAGCCAGCTGCTGCTTGTAAGTGGACCCTTTTTAATTATTTGAGAATATAAAGTCAAAAGAATGTTATCTCAGTATATGTATATATAGAATATGTAATACATATCAATTTACAAAATTGTTAATGTGATGTAATCAATGTAAAAACCCACTTTTTTTTACATTGTAGTTTTAGTTTGAGGAGTCAAATTTTTGATACATTATGTATAATGACCGCCCCAAAACAACAATCACTTCATTTAAGAATAGTGGCAATCTAGGAGGAGAAAAAACTTAGGAACGGGCTCGTGAAGAGTTTATTATGGATTTATAAATTATTTTGCATATGGAGAATGGTGATGCCTCTGCTTCTGATGATGAAACCACTTCCATTAAAATATTTATGAACAAAATCAATGGATTATTTTTTACTTATAGCCCAGCCCACCCTGTGTCAAGCACTGGATCTGCCATTGGGCCTTTATAATATGCAATTTCATACTGTATTTGTTAATTGTTACCATTAGGTATTTGATCATGTCTCTGTTTGTAGTACTCTTTAAGTGAATCAGCCCATCATTTTAGCATGTAGGAATTGTATGATTTATATCTACTTGTGGATTATGTTTGACAATTTCATTGTTATGTGTGCTAATATTCTATAAATGTATCAGGCATTGCAGAGGCAGAGAAAGCATTAATGCATTATAATTCCATGGCTGCTAGCATGACTCGACAACCAATATGGGCTGTTGCTGAGAATTATCGTTTTGAGCCTGCTTTCACAGAGGTGTCTGTTTCACAAGCATATTGATTATTCCATGGGCTGGTTTGCAGTGGGAATAATTTTTTGTTCATTTGCAGAGCAATAAAATGATTGCCGAGATAGGGGACATTGTAAATATCCAGGTCATTGTCGAAGGGTCAATGAATAGCTCAAACCCTTATTTCTCAAGCTCTTGGAGGCGCAACTTCTTTGTGAGTAGCCCTTTCATGAAATATATTTTGGAATTTGTCTAATTGTATGTAGCCATAACTGTCATACCAAATCTTCAAAAGAAGGAAAACATGGTCTTTATGGTTAATGGAGACATTGGTAACTTCATGCCTATATTGTGTGAAGTTTAAAATCAAATTTTAGCATTCTAATTCTCAAAAGAGAATTCTATCTATTCAGACAAACTATATTGTTCTTTTTTTTCTCAGGGTGGTTTCATTCTAGACATGGGCGTGCATTTTGTTGCTGGATTAAGAATGGTACTTCACTTTGTCTTTCTCGCGTAGTTTGTCCACACACATATTTTCTTTCATATTCCTAGAGATTCATAACCCAACGAGATATTCTCAAGTTTTACGCCAATTAACCGACTAACCATTCATCAAAATCTACAGTAATTTTTTGAAAGCCAAAATAGCATTGCATTGCATTAACTGAAATGGGAAACAAAATCAGGGGGGGGACCCTCCCAAACACCAGAATGAGACAAAGTTCTATGTGTGGCAAGCGTATGTGCACCAGCATCTTGCTCACAACCAACCAACAAAAATAACTCTGAATCAAAACAAAAAAAATCAGTTGCCTACAATCCTCCAAGTGTGCATTATTATTAATATTACCATTATTATTAAATCTCTCTTCTATTCGTAAATCTTACTCACATAATTTCATATTTCTCGATAATTGTGCTTGCTCATTCGTGAAACTTTAGTTTGAGATGGAGGGAGTAATTATTAGATATAAGTTCATATGTACTCCCTCTGTCATACAATGAACTTGATGCTTTGAATTCCCAGTTTTTAAGAAAAATGTTGAAAAGTGTACGTTTGGATTTTTTTAGAATAGAAAAATGTCATGACTCACGAATTCCTTTCTTAAAAAAGAAGTGAGAGAAGAGTAAAGTTTATTTTGGGATGGACGAAAAAAGAAAGTGTAAACTCTATTGCAGGAGTGGGGAAGTATTACTTTTGAGCAAAAAAATCTGTTATTTTTCATCAATTACCATCCAGGCTAGTGTTGTGACTAGTTTTTTTTTTAAATTTATATGTTCCATGCTGCACAGCTTGTTGGATGCGAGGTAGCTTCGGTCTCTTCTCTGACTTCTCATGTAGATATGACATTACCTCCACCTGATAATATTTCAGCATTGTTGTAAGTTCATTTCTGTCTTTTTTTTCTCTCTATTTGAGCTAGAGGTCTATTGAAAACAGTCCCTTTACTACATAATAGGGGTAAGGTCTGCGTATGCACACCCTTCTAATACCCTACTTTTTGTAAATTTTTACTGGGTTTGCTGTTAAGTTTATTCACTTTTAGCAATTTTCTAACAAAATGTATTACTAACTAACAAAGGAGAATCTCTTTATCTGACCGCAGCCAACTGGAGAATGGATGTTCAGGAGTGTTTGTTATGGTTGTTTCGTCAAGATCGCCAAAGGCATGCCAAATGATTCTCATTTTGTGTTCAATTATGCTTTAAGGATGACTATACACTTACACAATACTAAACTTTTGGCTTCTCATGCAGATAGTGTGGCGAGTCGTAGGCTTAAATGGAACACTGCAAGTTGAGCGAGGAAATAAAGATGGAAAGCATGGCTACTCGGTAATCCTAACTCAGACCATGTTCATATATCTTGCTTTATACTCCGTAATTTTCATATTCGTTAGTCTAAAAGCAAGGGGGCATTTTTTAAAAGATGTGCGTAACACATGGTAATCCATGGTAGCCTTTATATTTTCTTTCAGGCGGGGTGTAAGAGCAAAGATTTTCCCCTTATTTTTATACTTGGCTTTGAGTCGTTCTTAGGCCCTGTTCTTTTGGGTTAGAATTTCAGAGTTGGATGTTGGAACAAACTGGAAGGAGTTAGAAAAAGCTGGAAGGAGTTGGAAAATTTTGGAAGAATTAAAGTGTTGAAAAGTCACTCAATTAAATGATCACCCAAATAAATATGCAAAAAAACTCTAATTTTGGATAAAAAAGAATTCATTCTTGTGCGTGTTTGAGTGATGTGTTATAAATTTAGGTATATAATGCTATTGTATATTCATCATTTATAAATATTCTTTTTAAGTCATTGTTGGAAGAAACTAGGAGTTTGGAAGGAACTGGAAAGAACTAGGAGTTGGAAGTTATTTTTTCCAAGCCAAAAGAACAGGGCCTTAGTATATTAGATTACTCCCACCGTCCATTACTCCCCCTCACCCTTAAATAATCTTTTTTGTTTTGTTTTTTGTCCTTCCCAGAATATTTTTCCTTTCCTTTTTAAGAACAAAATGTGTGCTTGTAATTGTTTCAATCTAAATCGCAACCGCACTTACAACGAGGAAATGGGAACAGCGGCTTAAGCCATTAGGTGTAGGCGCTTTCCAGAGGTGGAATATTCTAGTTCTTCCTGTTTGACCCGAAACCGATCGATCTAGCCATGAGCAGGTTGAAGAGAGCTCTAACAGGCCTTGGAGGACCGAACCCACGTATGTGGCAAAATACGGGGATGACTTGTGGCTAGGGGTGAAAGGCCAACCAAGATCGGATATAGCTGGTTTTCCTAATAAGTGTCCCATGTGAAAAAAAGAAGATTACTCCTAATGGAGGAAGTAAATTACATACATTAAACAAGATTATATAGCTAAACACCTATTGTTTTATTTTTCTTGACTTTGGATCCCGAGTGGGGGTGAAAGTCAAATATTAAAAGTAAACATGATGTGCGAACGCCGAAGTTTAGTTTTACTTTGCAACTCACGCTTAGCGTAATATATGACTTTGCACTTTACGTGGAGATCAAATTCAAAGAACATAAAATATGAGGTGCAAGTCAAATACCAATCTTAGTACAAACACAAAGTGCAAATGCCAAATCTCTCCTCTCTTTTCTCTATGTATATCTGTATCCAGTGTTAAATTTTTGGCACAAGAGTTGGAAGAATAAATTCATACCCGGTCCCCAAATCTGTCTTCAGGTGTCTATATACACAGCCGATGGGCAAAGCAAAAGCTTCTTCTATCCATTCAGTGGCGTCGCGGAAGAGCTCAAAACATTTCTGTCACACATTTCTTTGTCACGTCAAAAAGAGGTACGTCTAACTTAGCTTTCAGAAATCTCGGATGCTCGCTTAGGATGTTGTGTGCAAAAAGAGTGGTTGGTCCTTGTCTGGGGTTTTTTTAAAAATAAAAAACGCAACACATTGACCTTTCGAGTAGGGGTAAGATCTGCGGACACGCAGCTTTCCGGGACCCTACACTCTTTGTGGATTTTTACCTTTGGGTTGTTCAATCTCAACACATTTCTGAATGTCTTCTTGTGTGTACCATTTGGGAATAATTTCCTTGCAGGAGGAGGGCAGGGGGTTGAAAGGTGAACCACGCATGTCCTACGTGGAAGGATGTAGGGACATTGCTGTTTTAGAAGCAATGCTTGAATCTGGACATAAACAAGGGGCTCTTGTCCATGTTAAACGGTTTTAATAGTACTCCGGGGGGGGGGGNCCTATTACTGAGAGATAAATATCTTTTACTCCTTATTTAATAAATAAATAAATTTTGTGCTATGTGGACATTTAATAGACTAACAATTTTTTTTGAATGAAATAGACTAACATCTAAAAATTGAATCTTTACTATATGGAGCATTAAATTTCACTTCCATTTAATTAATAACAAATTATTAACATATATATTTTTGTCTATGATTTTTACTTTTAATTTTCTCATCTCATTTTTTTTGAAATTTTTAATTTTTAAATTTTATTTTCTTTAGTTTTGAATTTTTTTAACTTTTGTTTTTATTTTTTTTTACATATATTATAGAATATCTTTCAAGAAAAATAATTTTCAAATTTTGGCTTTACAGATAAAAACGCCAAGTGAAAAAGTTATTAGCCAAACAATGGTTTTGGCCGCTCACTTAGTCACAAAGCCAACGTCAGTCAAAGATGCCAAAATCTATTCAAAAAGTTGTTTTCCAAACACAGCCATTATCTTTCAAACTTCAAAGCCTTGTCGGGATTATTATGATATCCTCTTCATTGTTAAGATTATTTTTTATTATCAATCTCTAATACTATCTCCGTCCCATTTTATAACGCTTGTTTCGGTTTACGATGTTTGACTGAAATTATTTTCAAACCATTTTATATGACAAATGGTATAAAATTTAAAAATAAAAATTATATATTAAAAAATTACATCAAAAGTTCTACAAAACTAGTAGTGACAATAATATTTTAGTTTATCAAATTGCTAACGAAAATAGAAAAAGAAAATGAATGAAGTTTGACTCTGTGAATAGTAAACATTTGGTACTTTTTGGTTTAATTTACGGTCAAAGTATGTCAATTTTATCAAAAAAGTGAAAAGTTAACTAATTTTCAGGGATGAAGGGAGTATGTTGTTTCCAACATACGAGTAGGGGTGGACACGGTACCGGTACGGTACGGTACCGCCGGTGCCCGCCATCGTCACTGCCGGCCGGGACGTTCCATCGGTTCCGGGAACCGGTACCGGCACCGCCCCCACGGTACCAGTTCCGGTACACATTTTCGGTACCGGCACCGGCGGTAACGGTTCCGGTTCTGGTACTTTTTTTTGTCCAGCCTCCATCGGTCCAGCAGCCCCTCTAGCTCCAGCAAGGTTACTCTCTTTCTGAAAATAAGTCTCTTCCAAATTTTTCAACAATTGCATTTAATATTTTTCATAGATCTCAATTGTTTTTATGGACACTAGATTTTTCAAAAAATAATCAAAAAAATAAATCAATTTTACACTTTAAAAATTTAATAAAAAAGCAAAAAAAAAATTAATTTGGGGGTGGCCGGTCCGGTACCGGAACCGCCGGTCTGGGTAGTGGAACCGGTACCGGCCGGTCCGGTCACGGTACCGGTACCAAGGGCTGGCGGTACCGGAACTTGCGGTTCCGGAACCGTCCCGGAACCGTACCGTGTCCACCCCTACATACGAGTACTGTAGAATACACTAGAAAATCTCAAATTTACACATTAAGAGCTTGTTCTCTTTAATTGATTTTTACATGATCAAAGTGCGTGCTGAGACAGGTTTCGAGCTAGTTTGAGATGCTACATTACGAGAATTTTCTAGCCCTGAGCCCGGCCCGAGCCCATATAGTGGGCCTAACAATTGAAGCTCGGGCCCAGCACACATGGATATCCGCGGGCTTCAGGCCGGCCGAGTCTGCACAACAAAACTTCTAAGTAATTAGAAATAATAATTTTTTAAAATAAAGTCGTAATGGGTCAATATATATTGGATGTTTGGTATAATAAATACGGCCCGGTTCCATGGAGACTGGATTTCAGTGGCCACGGAAGCCAATGCCCCCCTACGGAGCTCCGTTCATAAAATTGATGATTCCTACTTCTCTAACCCCCTGGTTAACCCCCCGCCAAGTCCCGACCCAAACTAATCACCCCACCTACGTCAATTGCACCTCGTAAGTATAATTGACTTTAAAGTCAAAAGTTTTGACTTTATACTTAGAGGGGGTAGGAATCATCAATTTTATGAACGGAGCTCCGTAGGGAGGCAGTGGCTTCCGTGGCCACCGGAATCTAGTGGCCATGGAACCGGGCCGTAAAAACTATAATGAGTAAATGGAAGAACAACTAATATATAAAATGTGTTTTGTTTGATATTGCTACTACGTATAGAGTATGAAATATTATTTATTGGATACCATTATCAATATGTGACACGTTGTAAACAATACTGAGTAATAAAGATGTATTTATTTTATGAAATATACTTATAATTTACTTTTTTTTCTCCATAGAAGTATGTATGTGTATTTATAATAATTTGAAATAGTATTACTCTTATTATTATTATTGTTGTTATTATTTTATTATAATTATACTAACAATAAATATTGTAATTCATTCGTGTTGGCCCGGGCCGTGGGCTTGAGCATAAAACTTAAGCTCGACCTTAAAATATTCTAGCCACCATTTATAAGGCCCAAGCGCCCATACAATAAAATGTCAAGCCAAGCTTGCTATTTTGCGGGTGGGCTTTGGCAGGTGGGTTGGATACCCAGGCCCGTGATCGAGTCTAATATGAGTGTAGTTATATTTAAAGTTATTTCTAATCTTATTTGATTTGATTTCTTGAAATGAACTGATTCCGATAAGAAAAAGTAATAAATACTTCGTTGTGTATTGTTGTTTTTTTATGGTCTTTGTTATTTGACAAACCTGGTCATTATAGCAAGTTTGCTAGAGGTATATTTGAACTGTCCGAATTAGAATTTACTCCTCATTTTTAAGAGTATTGTGAAATGTTTAATAACTAAACCCGTCCGAAAAATCACCATTTAATGGGTGAATCATACTTTAATAAAAAAAGATTATGACGAATTATCTAAAATATTTTAATAATGAGGCAAAAGTATTATTAATACGAATGAATGATTCTCATTTGAAAGATTTATTTGACGCCGGGGTATTTTATATTCATCTATTAAAAGATAATCTTGGATAATTAAATTTTAATGGAGAAAATATATACTCCATTCGTTCCTAAATAGATTATAAATTGCGGATTACGAAGAAAAATTTCCTACTTTTTGAAATCGTTTTATTTACAAATTGGTATATCAATAAGATATAAAAATTACATATTAAAAAACTACGTCAAAAGTTCTACAAAAGAAGAGGTGACAAGATTATTTTATTTTATTAAATACTTAATAAATTGCGTAAACGAACAAAAGTTATCGAGAGGAGAGGGAAAATTATTTTATTAAATACTTAATAAATTGCGTAAACGAACCAAACTTATTAAATACTTAATAAATTGCGTAACGACGGAGGGAGTATATTTTTTTGTGATTTTGGCCACAAGCTTCCATTTTCTCAGATGGAGCCAAACATTCGGTATTATATGATTGTGGAGTAAGATGGAATAAATCAAAATGAGTTTTAAACTCTCCGTGAATCTTTTGATAGTGGAGTAATACTTTGTCAATATTACTGTCAATGTTGCTCATGAGATTTTTGGAAACAGATGCTTTATGCTTTAACATATAGAAGTAAGTCAGAATGCGTACATTCATACCCAACAATGGATGATAGCCTTCGAAGCATTGAGATAATGTTGTTGGTAATTTTAACTTGAAATATATTTGAGGAACCCTACTTAGTGTACACTAAAACAAAAGTAGGTTCGATTAGATACTTAATGTCTGTGCGTGCAGGGACATTAAGTGTCTATAAGTGCCTCTTTTGCCCTTCCATAGTACTCCTCTTTTAAGTTTTAACTTATTCAATCATGTGCAAGGTCTTCCTCAATTAACCTTTTTCCTCATCATCCATTCTTTCCAAAAGGGTTCACGCATTTACATGTCCAAGTTCAATGTATCTGGACTTATCGTCCACTTTCTCTTTTTTTTAAATAAATAATTAAACTATTTCAGCAGCACTCCATGTCCAATAAATACTCTCTTGTAAAAAGATTTTACATTCAGACTTCTTATTGGAATTAACAAAAATAAAATTAATTTGTTGGAAGTGATTCTGAAGAAAATAAAACTTCTTTTGAAACAGATATAAAATCTTTTTATAGAACATACGTAATAAGACTATTCCTTTGGATTGAAAAAATTAACTCCTTTCATTTCTTTTCAGTTTTTTCTAACAATGACTTTATATATATATATATATATATATATATATATATATATATATATATATATATATATATATATATGAAGATTATACAATAATATTGTTAGAAACTTAGGAGGAAGAACGCTGTGAAGCGGCGTTGAAGAGTTGAAGAACGAAAAACAAGAATTACGACTTGATAGATTTAACGAATTGCGAATAAACTTTTAGATCAAAGTTATTTCGGGGTATACCAAAATATTTTAATCGGATAAAACGTTAATCAAAAATAAACCTTTCAAAATCCTTCTCAACCATACCCAACTACTCCTTTTGTAGAGTTGAAGATTTTGGCGACCAGACATGAACATTCGCGCAAAGGAAGCGTATGTTCGCGCAACACGGAGAGAACCGAATTTTGCTAAAGGACGCAAGTGTTTCGCGCGTTAATTTATTTTCGGTTTTGGCTCAATTTTGACGTTTATCCATACGTCCGAATCTTTAGTGTTTCGGGCTCCATTCATGAATAAGAATTTTCACAAAGCAATAATGTCAAAAATAAAAAATTTCTAAGCTCAACCCCGGCCAGGGGCTCTGCCCTTTAGACCTCGCTACCTGAGGCTGCAACCTCCGAACCCCTGCAATGAATTTGTAATATCGTTGAACGAGTGCACACTCCCTTCTCCTAACTCGCTTGGTGGCTATTCAAATTCCTGTCTTATCTAAGTAATTCCAATCACAAAAAATAGCCGATGGAACAAAAATCACCAACAAACATTATATATCCAAATTCATAACATACACCCCAAACACAAATAAGGATGAATTTTTTTATATCCAAGATTATTTTTTTACATATTTGTTTAGATGATCATTTAATTAAGTGACTTTTTAATACTTTAAATACTCGGGGTATTCTAACATTTTCTAACTCCTAATTTTTTCGAACTTCTTCTAGTTTCCCCCAACTCTTTTCAATTTTTTT